GGTAGAGCCAGAATTAGAAGTCTCCAAGTTTAGAGTCTCCGTGGGGTGGCGGTTTGGCCTGCAATAAACATGTCCTTTCACTGGTCAAAAGTCACTTCCTCCATGACAGAGACTGCCAAGTGCTCAGGTATCTGGCCAGTGTTCACCCAGTATGTTTGCCTTCAATATGTTTGCCATTTCTGAGCGCAGACCAGGAAGACCCTTCCCAATTAATCCCTTAGCCGCTCCCGTCCCAAATAACTCATCCCCTCTGCTTCTCTTGCCTTCTCCCCCAACCCCAGCCACACACCTCCATTCTGTGTCATTGCATTGTTTACGTTTCTCCTTCTTCCTCAAGCCCCACATCCCACCATGTCCTATTCATCTTTGTATGCCACAGCCAGCAAAGTTACCTGGCACAAAGCAGGTATTCAATGAATTAATAGTCAATGAATCAATAGTTAGTCAAGCTCCACTGAGATCAGTGATCCGAGGCCATTGCTAGAATGGGAGTCCAGAAGAGACTTTTCTGAAGTCCTCACTGAGCTGAGATAAACATCACCCCTTTTCATGCCCCCAAGTGTTTGTGGAGCTTCTTCTGTGAGGGGCGCTGCTCTGGGGCCTAACAGACCAGAATCGTCATGCCCTGCCCCCAAGAACTCGACAACTGACCGCGAAGGTCAGGAAGGCAGGAGGCGGGTGGTGGACGCTGCCCTCTGAGTAGGCCGGTGAGAGATTTCCACTCAAGTGGCTTACGGGGCCTTTGAGGAGAAAGGGGATGGGAAGGAAGTGATCAGTGACATGCCATGGAGAGGCTGGATTTGTCGAACCTGGCTGAGGCCAAGTCCCCTCAAAGAAAACCTGGCTGCAAGAGAGCCGGGCCCTAAAGATGGGGGCAGCGGGGAGTCAGGCTGGGCCTGGCCTTGCAGGAGCCACGCAGGTCTTGAGCAAGGGAGTGGCTTTGTGCAGAAAAGTCTTTTGAGGGCGGAGGTGACACAAACCACATAGAAGGCTTACAGTGGTTGCAAGGTGCACAGCAGGCCAGAGGCCATCACGAGTGAGGAAGGCGAGTAAGGAAGGCGCTCTCGGCCTCCAGCAGTGCAGATAAGATAAGGCGGGCCAGGCTGGGGCCCCAGGCATCAGCTCGGTCACTGAGGGGCCCTCTGGGCTCTTCAGGACCTCTTCTTACAGAGCACCATTTTTTTTGATGAGGAAGATTAGCCCTGAGCTAACATCTGTGCCCATCTTCCTCTATTTTGGGTATGTGGGACACCTGCCACAGCACAGCTTCCTGAGTGGTGTGTAGATACACGTCTGGGATCCGAACCCACGAACCCAGGGGCCTCCTCCGAAGCCGAGTGCTGGAACTTAACCACTACGCCACCAGGCCGGCCCTGACAGGGGACCTTCCTTATTGGTTTTCTGCAACTAGGACCTGTGTCCTCCAGGATAGAATTCCACAGAGCAATTCAGGATTGTCCCCAGACAAGACCACCTTGTTCAGCCCCTCCCACTGCTGCGCAACCTGGAAACTGAGGCCAGGACAGGTGAAGAGACCGGCTAATCCCGGGTTTGCGGCTACTAACAGTTCTCTCTGCTCTCCCAGCTTTTCCAGAGACTTTATTTAGGGGGAATCATGCTCTGGTCTCCTTGTGAAAGTCCCACTCCTCTACCCCGCTGGCACGCAATTTAGATAAAAGAATCCACACGACCTCTAAAGAATCATTAGGCAATTGCACATCACTGGGGCTTGGTTTTTATTTGTTTGTTTTTTGTTTTGGGTTTTTGTTTTTGTTTTTTTCACCAATCCTGCATGAAATCAATGGGGAAGTGCAGGACAGCTTCAGCCCAGGCCGGGTCCCTGTGGCCATCTGCGAGGGCTGACAGTAGAGTGGGAAGCGATCTGTCCCCCAGAGTCAAGCAAACAGAGAACAATGCTGCCTTGACGGCACATTCAGTAGCAACCCTGAATGATCTTATTTTACACAAGGAACTGCTCTGAACCATTTGAGAACTCAAGAAATAATACAGAGAGAGAGAAAGAAAACTCCATACCCTGATTCAGATATAGGCCACCTATTCCTGGGGTCCTCAAACACACTTGCCGTTAACCCATGGAGCATCCTCATCCACTTTAAGTATTTGGGGAGAAAATGAACCCACATCCAGAAACCCGACCTGGTCTATTGTGCTCAGCTGGCCGACAGGGAAGCAATGCTGGACCCAGAAGGGCAGATCCAGAGACTCCTACGTCACAAAGGCTGGCCGGGTGTAACCAGAGCCCTGGCTCCCACCCAGCTTAGGAACAGGACCAGGGAGTGGGAGGTCAGCCAGGATAGGAGAGCCACTCACTGTCGGCTCTCAGCTAGACACAACGGGACTCCCAGGAGAACGCTCTCAATCTTAGACTCTTCTAATAAAATTCAGGCAAGATCCCCACAAAAGTATCTGCTACAACAGGAAAATTTGAGGATGCTGGCTATCTAGCTGACGGAGCCCTCAGTGTGCACAGTCCCCATGCTGCCCATTGCTCCTTTATCTGTCCCTTAGCCAGCAGCAGTTCAAGGCCACCTGAGATAGTGTGAGCCCCTCTACCCTTTGAGCACTTGGAAGAAAACACGGGGCCAGCTTCCAAAGCTACATGTGGCTCCGCAAAATTTTCACTATAAAATATGCAATTCCCTCATCACTTTAAAACGAGGCAATAATGGGTTTTTTCCCCATTCTAAATTAGTAGGTTCTTACATAACAAAAGCATCTGATATTCTCTGCAGAAAACCATCAAATATTGAAAATCCAAGAATGCACCCTTTTCTTCCCTTTTTTTTTTGTTTTGTGTTTTACTTTAACAGAAAATGTGTCCCAGAGCCATAATTTTCTGGACTTTTAAAACACTTGACATGACACAGCCTTTGGTTTCTTTCTAAATTGTCCCCACACGCATGCAATTCGATTAGAAGGCATTCAAGTACTAATTTTGTTCCTAAGAGTAAAACCAAGTTTCTTGGTTGTCTGGTTTAAAAGAGCAAATAATTTCCAGCCCCAAATTCCATTCATGTTCTGCAAAACCACTGAGAGAAATCTCAACTCCTGAAATCTTCAAGATCTTTTTCTTCTCCTCCATTACTCCTAGGGTTTATAGAGTGACTGTCTTCAGTCTCAGGTTGAGTAACTTCAACTAACTTTTCTCCTGTCTCCTCGAAAACAGGAGCCTCTCTGCCTAGTATGATCGCACAAAAAGCCACTGTTCCCGATTAAGTAGGTTTTTTTGTTGGGGTTTTTTTCCATCCCGAAAGCCTATACTTTGTCTGCTCTGGGCCTGATTAGAAACCATAATACTTACTCAATTCTCTCAGGACTTGCTGTTAATATGGGATCAACTCACCTCCAAAGTCCTGACTCAGTTAAGCACAGGCATGTTGCCTTGGCTATCCTTTCTGGAACTTTTTTAAAAGTATGATTGCAATGCACGCCCCTTTAAAACATCAGATGGCCAGCAAAACACAGGCATTTCTCAATTTCTTTTGCTTTCCCACCCCCCTCCCTGCAGCTCCCCCACTCCATCTCCTGCAGCTTGTACCTCAAGCTTAGCAGTTAGTTGTGTGCACAGTCAAGTGTTTATGGCAGAGACTGGGGAAAAAGGAGCAAATTGTTTCCAAGCTGGAGCTCCCCTGTGCAACTTGGCTCTAGAGAAAGGCTCTGCATCTGGGGAAGCTCGTGTTCTGATGAGAGAGGGGCGAGCAGTTTATCCATTTAAAATCTATAGACAGTTGAGCACAGACACCAGCAGCCTCCACTCTCTTTTCTAGTCAAGCCTATTTGATCTCTGCATTTTCCCGGAATAAATAAAGGGACACAAAAGCAGCATCTGCGTTTAAAAGAAAAGAAAAAGTTACCACATTGAGGCTTTGCAGACTGAAGTTTCAGAGAATGTCAGTGTACCGAATACCCTCAAAGAGCTATAAACCATTTCAGGGGGCCCTCTCCCCCTTCTGAAAAACATAATTATCCTGTTGTGAGCAAATGAATTGAGAGAAAGAAAAAAAGACAGACAGACATAGAGAACGAAAGAGAGAAAGAAAAAGGGAGACAGCCAGTCTGACTTTTACAACTTCTCATTCTCTCTGGAAGTTACAAGTCTTGGCTAACCACCCGTCCCGGACCTCACTCCAAAGTTCTCACTCTCTGCCACCCCTTGAATCTTTATGCATGCTAACAAAATTGAACAAAACCCATGTTTTACCTGAAGAGCATATTTAAATTACAAAATCCTAGACTTGTGCGTGCCGTTTTTGTCCCAGTTGAAGCTGGACTTACCACCTTCTGAGAGAACAATAAATATTCAAATTAGATTATCAAGGATGCAATCAAGAGACAAGAAGACTGAGCTGCATTTAACATTCATCCTTATAGCTTCCGGACTTGCAGGATCTGGCAATCCCCTGAAGGACTGGATTCAAATACATTCTGGATCCACAAAGAGTCTTAGCACAGTTTTCTGCTTCACTTAAGGATGCCTCTTAATAAAGTGTCCATCTTTCTGGAAATACAAATTTACTGCCAATTCTTTCTATTTGCCAACTGATATACCAGAAGTGAGGCAGGTAAGCAGTGGTGCCAAGCTGCTCCCTATGCCAACGCTGAACAAGCAGAATGGACAGTCTGCATTCTTGCAAGTTCTCTGCTTACTCAAGCTTAAATACCCATAGCAGCAAATAAACACCAGATTCCTAAATCCAACAAATATTGTACACTCGGAGAGTCCCCTCCACAAGGGACTTAAGAAAACCACGCTTTGCTTCCTGCAGGGAGAGGTGAAGCCCCCAAGTTAGCAGACCCACTCTGCAATGCAGCCATGCAGCATGCAGCCTGTGCTTTGAGAAAGCAGACTCTCCAGCACCCATCACAGAGATTAAAAAGAAGTCTTCTGAAAAGGATCACTCAGTTTAAGAGCAGAAAACCTGCCCTCCATCCTCCCCTCCTTTCTAAGCAGAGCTGCTGACAGAGCACAGTTTCCTTACCTCTCGGCTGGGCTCCGGCTTCGGCTCGCTAGCTTCCTGGCTCGTGCACTCGCTGCCTCAGGGCTGAGCAGTTTGGAGCAACTGTGAGCTCTCCGGCTGCAGAGCTGCATTATATACACTGCAGGAAGGCGCCTCTAGATGGCAGCTTTGTAACCCGCATCTCCCTCCCTCCCTCCCCTGCACCACCCCCCTCGCATCACACGGGCACACACACATGTATGAATGCACGCACAACTGCTGCACACACTTGCGCACACACCCCTCTTGTAAACCCCGGTCTGTCATTTCCAGCAAACCTCTCCCACACAAGCACACTCTTGGGAAACCCCAGCCGTCCTTCATCTGCAATGTCTAAATGAAGCCACCAAGTCGAGACCCCATGGGGAAAAATGTGTCAGCAGAAGAAAAACTGCCAAGAAACCCTAGTGCTTTGCAAAATCATCAAATATTTATCTGGTCTCAGGTATATCTTTAATAATTCCATTAACACCAAGAGTTCCTTTGAATGCCTCTTAGCTCTAGGGAAGACTTTGTTCCCAAGACAAATTGCTCTGAACTTCTGAACTTCGGTGTTGATTTATTAAGCCTAGGTATTTATTAAGCCTGGGTTTTCTTTGTTAATTCCTCCAACACAGAAATAACAGTTTTGGTGGGAGCAATTAATCGGTACCATATTATTATACACCCCAAAAGTGGGGGTAAGAGCCTTTATAATGGATTCTAATCAATTTTATTTGAATACTTTTATTTGTAAAGGTCCTTGAAAATCTAATCAAAATGGTGTTCTGAAGTGCCTACCCAGCACCAGGCATACATTAGCGGTATAATAAATGTCTTTTGATATCTTTTTCTGAGGTGAGTTTAGCAAACACTTTTTAATTATTATTATTGAAATCTCCATTCTCATCTAGAAGCGGAGAGTTCTGTTCACGGGAGAACTCAACCTAAAAATGTGTTCCATATGATAGTCACCTCTAACGCCCTATTCAGAAAAATCAGCCATAAAGCTACGGCCTAAACTTTACTTTTAAACCATGCTTATGAGCTTTTCCCCAGAGTAAAGTGCCGGGTTTTGGCTTTTGTTTTGTTTTCTGTTTCTCTGGGGTTCCGCGAGGGCAGCTGAGGTCACGTGTGAAGACACCCGCATAACCCACTTTCTCCCGAGCTAAAACTTGTTGAGATTCTTTTTATACTTCTACTAAAAATAACAGCAGACTGCCAAATGCCGAGTCTGAAGGATTGGGAGGTCAAACTCTCCCGAGGGTGGCTAGCAGGCCCCGGTGTGGAGAAAGCCCTTAACAAAAGAAATATTTTGTTTAGTTAAAAGCTTCACAGAGCACCGTGGAAACCACTCCCAAATGGGAGCGAGGAGCACACCTGCTCCCCCGAGGCTCGGGGCGGGGCGCGGAGGGAGGGTGCCCACAGGAGCCCACTGGCTGTGGTCAGCCTTGCCCACCCTGTCCCTGCAGCACCCAGTCGCTGTCCTTAAAACTGGCACGATTCGTCGTGTCTGCTGGGCACCCGAAGCTCCAACTCCAAGCTCCCAGAGTAAACGCTGCTGTAAAGGAAAACTGCAGACAGCTCCGTCCGCACACACCCAGGGTTTAGGGGAGGCTGTAAGAATACCCTTTCACAGCTTTTTCGGTCCTGTTTGCTTCTTGTGGGTGACCCTGTGCCTGAGCCTGCTCGAAATGTCCCTGCCGGCCCGCCGGGCAGAGGTCTCTGTGACACTGACACACAGGCTTGACTTTCTATTTCTATGAACTTGACAATCTGCTCTTTCGAGAACGCTTTCCTCCTTGGGCAGGTTTGGGTGCAAGAGTGAAACAGGCTGGGTTTGACTCCGCTCTGAGTTAAGCGTGCTCTCTTTAAACGAAACCACGCACTGACGAGAGACCTGCGACAGGATGCAGTTGCTAAAGTGGCGGAAGGAAAACGCAAAGTAGTTGTAAAAAAAAGAACCCACTTCGGTGCAGACGCTGTGCCGCCCCCGCCCCCTCCCCGGGCTGGGCAGGCACCGCAGCAGCCGCGCGGCGGGCGCAGGAGCCGCGCACCCAGGGGCCGGGGCGCGGGGGTGGCGGCACGCGGTCGGTCCCGGACCCGCCCGCGGGTCCCACCCAGCGGGAGGAGCTGGGCCGTGCGGGCTCCCTGCGCCCTGGGAGGAGGCCCCAGCCCTCCCGCGTCTGCGTTCTGCTTGGGACTCTCCACCCCCGACCCCTGTCCCAGAGCCCAGTCCTGGGGGAAGTGAGAGGGTAAGTAAGCAACTCTGTAAGGAAACAGGATTCCATCGCCCCGGGACCTGAAATGTCTCTGGGAACGTTTGGAAGTCTGCCCTGGCTGTTGGAAGGATTGCGTTTGTAAGGGAGGGGTCACACAGAGCGGTTAGCTCGGTAGGAATGAGTTTGGTTACTCCCAATAGGAAATTCTGAGAAGGCAGGAACGGGCGGCTGTCCTAGAGCTGGCCCAGCTGACCCAGAGCTCAGTTCCTGGGCCGCTTTTCGAGCCCTGAGTACTTAGCGTCAGGGCGGCGGGAAGGGGTTTTCAGCCAAGCTCCAGACTCCTTCCCGTCTGTAATCTGCAGCTGGGATTTTAGACGCCACAGAGCAGGCTCTCCCGCTGGGATCTGATTTGCCTGCAGAGTGGCCATCAGCCTCCTGTCTGAAACCCCGCATCACTTGAAAAGCGCTGGGATCCTGGAGGGCCAGAGCTGAGGCAGGCAGGGTCTGGGCTCCTAGTGACACAGTTACAATGGAGACAGTGTGGCTCCTGATGGCTGCATATGTGGCTCCAGAGACGCTCGACCGCACCGTTAGCCTGAGGACTGACTTTGCTGAAGAGCAGGTCTTCCTTCCAACCTTGAGAATATCACACAGGGCATTACGGATTCCTGGAGTCATGCCCCTGGGAAGAAGATTCATCCTCTAGTGGCTTGTCCTGGCCAGAGTCATCTCAGCACTGGACATTCCCCTGAATAACAGATGCCAAGCCCCTTCTGTGGGGGAAGGACCTAGAAGTAAAGACACAGCCCTGCCCTCAAGGAGATGGGGTTCCCCAGCCTGGGCTCTGTCCAGACAGGTCTAATTTGGAACCCCCACTTATAACACCATGTCTCCTTGGGCATCTTAGCCTTGTTGCATATTAGGTTCCTATCTTTACAATAATTATAATAGAACCTTCTATTCTCACTGGGTGCTCCTCAGGATTCAATGAGAACGCACGTGTGAAAGGCACCTCACAGGTCCCAGAACAGCTAGTTCTCTTCCTCCTCCCACCGAGGTCCAGCCAAATTCCAGGGACACAGAGCATTTTTTAAGGAATACAACAGATCTCTAAGCCAAGGCTTGCAACATTTTATGAACTCTTTGACGAAGTTTGGAAAGATTTTGTAATAACAACTAAATCTGAGTGCTTTCTGTTTGCCTGTCTCTGCTAAGTGTTTTGCCTACATTCCTTTATTTAATCTTCACAGCAACCATAAAGGCTGGCACTCTTTTTGTCCCAATTTGTAACTGAGGAAACTAAGGCCCAGCAGGAGTGGCTAACCTGCCTGAGGGTGACCAACAGTGAATACAGGCGGATTCCAACCCAGGTTTGCCTGACTTCACGGCACATGCTGTTACCACAGAAAGACACATTCTTTTTTTTTTTTTTTTTTGCTGAGGAAGGTTCACCCTGAGCTAACATCTGTGCCAGTCTTCCTCTATTTTTTTGTTTGTGGGTCGCTGCCAAAGCATAGCTGATGAGTGGTGTAGGTCCGCACCTGGGATCTGAACCCAGGCCGCTGAAGTGGAGAGTGCCAAACTTAACCATTAGGCCACAGGGCCAGCCCCCAGAAAGACACATTCTTAAAAGAGTCAGGAAAAACCACTGTAACACGTATATCAGGGTGTCGTAAGTTGGGTTCCTAAAAGCAGACCCTTGGATGAGAATTCGGGGGCAACCGATTTGTTAAGGAAGTGCTCCCAGAAGAAACCAGCAAGGGAAGAAGACAACCAAAGGTATGATTTCTGGCTGAGCCTCAGCTGTGGCCTGACCCCTCATGGCTCTCTGAAGCCCAAATGACACCATGAATTTGCCCCAACTCCAGGCAAGGAAGCTGGCCCTCATACTGCTGCATCTGTCATCTGCTGAATCAGGACTGCTGGGTGGTGGGTGGGCTAGTGTACCTCAGCGGAGACCTCCTGTTCTCAGCCTATGTGAGCAGAGCAGCTCCAGTAACTGCAGGTCAGCCTCTCCAAGATCCATTCCAGCCACAAGCCTGGGCAGTAAACCCCCATTAAAAGTGGGGGAGGGGCACACAGAAATAGAAAGGGGCCGAGGAGATCTGGGAGGGGTACCACCCATGTCCACTGTACTAGGCACCTATTATATCAATTTTGACCCAAATTAGAGAATCCTCTCTAATTAATGTTCAGACCAACTTGTTTCTGCCTCAGGACCTTGGCACCTGCCATTTTCTCTTCCTGGAATGCTCGTCCCAGTGATCGTTATATGGTTCTCTCCTTCTTATTATTCTGATGCAGGCTTCAATATAATTTCTATAGAAGAACCTTCTCTAACATTCTAGCCAAAGCATCCTCCTATCCCAGTTACTCTCTCATTGTCCTGTTCTCCTCATGGCACTTTTTACCATCCGTAGATATCGGTTTATTGTCTTTCTTCTCCCCACTACAGTATAAATCCCTTGAGGGCAGTTATATTGCTGTTTTATTCAATGCCGTATTCCCCATTGTTACACCTGGTGCTTGTCACATGGTAGGTGCTCATATATATTAACTGAATGAATAAACTCAGATGAGTCTCACTTTTGAATCAGGTTTTTGCCTCCCCATATTTCACTCACTTTCTGCCTCATAAAAATGGGAGAGGGGTAGTGAAGAAACAGTGCTGGTTACATGTTTTAGGAAAACTTAAACCATATACCTTGAAAGTGGGCAAAAGACTTGACCAGGTACTTCACACAACGGGAGCTCCAGAGGACCGATAAACGTATGAAAAGTGCAACTTTCTTAGTCACTGAAAAACTACAAATTAAAATCACAATACCGTACAACCGGACACCTACCATAAAGGATAAAATGAAAATTACTGAATGTTAGCAAGGAGGT